GGCCCTGCCACTCCCCGCCCCCTGCAGGCCACCCCACTCCCCGCCCCCACCACGCCCCCTGCTGGCCACACTGAGCTCAGGCTTCCACGAGGTTTTCTAAAATTTCAAGTGAAATTTGTCAGTTTTAAAAATATAAAACACTACATCTACAAGAACGGGCTGCATTTATAATGCAGTTCTCCTTAACCAAAGCCCAGAGCGGCAGCCTTTTTAGCTGAGCTAGTCATCACTAATTCTACTAATCCCATACAATCATACCCATTTTAGTGTTTGGATAACCTCCCCCAAAGTCAGGTTGTTAGTTAAGGGGAATGCAGAGTGAGATATAATTCTAGATAAAGAATGTGTACTAATGAATGATGACGAGGTAGCTCTAGACTTGTCACTGAGTCACAGGATCATAAATTTTTGAGAGCTAAACGGGCCTTTAGAGTACACTCTCCCTTCTTGCCATTTTACAGATGATTTATTCAAGATCATACAGCTAGTGCCTATTTATGGATTCCTTATCCTACTTGGTTCTCTCTCTCATTCTCTCACTCTCTCTGTCTCTCTCTCCCCGCCCTCCCCACTTCACCGATTGCCATGGCTTCAATTATTACCTCTGTGAATTCAAAATCTATATCCAGTACTCTGACTTTCTCCCAAGAGCTCTGATTCTTTATTTCCAATTGCCTGCTTCTATATAGAAGAATTCATGCTACCACTAACATTCCTATCAACCAATCAGTGACTTATTAAAACACCTACTTTGTGCCAGGAACTGTGCTAGGCACTGGGGATTCAAATACAATAAAGGAAATAATCCCTACTCACAAGGAGCTTGCATTCTAATGGGGGAGATAAAGATTCATGTGTGTGTATGTATGTATGTATGTATGTACAGACAACTAGGTGGCACAGTGGTGGGCCTGGAGTCACGAAAATTCATCTTCCTGAGTACAAATATAACCTGGCACTCATTAGCTGTGTCATTTTGAGCATGCTACTTAATCCTATTTGCCTCAGTTTTCTCAACTGTAAAATGAACTAGAGAAGGAAATAGCAAACTGCTCCAGTATCTCTGCCATGAAAACCCCAAATGCAGTTGGATATAATTCAACAACCACAAAGTATGTACAGAATTAATACATAGAAATAAAAAAAGTAATTAAATATAAGATAGTATAAGAAGGAAGGCAATAAAAATTGATGGAGGGGCTTCATGTAGAAGAAAGTGATGCTTGAGTTTTATCTTAAAGATAGATTATGCAGGGGAGAAGAAAGGAAGAATTGCAGTCCAGGAATGCGGGCAAGTACAAAAACAGAGAAGCAGAGAGATGGAATGTTGTGTGAAATGAACAGGGACAAGGTAAATCTGGCCAAGCAGAAGAGTGAGGAAAGGGAGCCTAAAACTGAACTCATTATCTTTTCTCCTAAATCTGTATGTCTCTCAAGGTTCTGTACTTTCTCCCAGTCTTTCCGTGGTTTTTTATTCTGCTTTCTCTTATCTCATATATCTATTCAGTTACCAAGTCCTGTCATTTCTATTTTCATAATTTCTTTAGCACTTGACCCCTACCTACTTCCAGTTCAGTTAAATAGGAAAAAACAAAAGTCTGACCCTTCAATCCCTCTCCCTACCCCAATCCCACTCCAAGTCAAAAAAGGCCAATGCTTCTTTATATTGTTTACATTCTAATCAGGTTTGTTTGTTTGTTTTTGCCACTCATTATTAAGTATGACTGCAAATCCTTGTCGGGTGTGACTAATGATGAGGTGGGTTGAAATCTGAGCAGAATTAGTGAACCTTTAAGGTCAGTGGTATCAAAGTCAAAGAGAAATGATTCCTGTAGGTTGCATATTAACCTAGAAAACCAAAAATTATGGGTTGCCCAGAGTTTTGATACCTCAGTTTTAGACTGCTGAGGTTCATGGGCCCCTTTGGCAGTCTGATGAAGCCTATAGAATCCTCAAAATATTTTTAAATGCATAAAATAAAATACAAAGGACTACAAAAGAAATCCATTACATTGAAATAAAAATGTGATTTTTTTTCATCATAGATGATACCCTGAAATCTATACATAGAACCCCCAGATTGAGAATCTCTATTTTAGAGAAACAAGAGATATATCCATACTTCAGGGTGGACTGAGGTGGGGGAGGGAAATTGTGACATATCCAATGTGGAAGTCTCAGAATCAAGAGAACTATACTATGATCATACCCTTCAGCAAAAATAAGTTCCCCTAAAATAAGAAGGCCTTTTTACAGAAAGCTATAATTTATGTATTCTCTAGCCCTACAATAAATTCTTGAGGCAAATGCCAATGGAGCACAGCAAAGACCAGCCTCTCCTGAGGTGCTCATACTCCACAGACCTTTCCAGGCACAAATGAAACTCTCATCAATCCATCAGACACAGGCTCTGGATCTTTCACCCTCCCCCTACAATGTCCTCTACTCCTCAGGAACATTACTATAGTTGGACCTCCACCATTCCCAACTCTTTTTGCATAAACAAAACCAATGCAGTTAAAATTAGAAGAGAAGCAGGTAAATGGGAAGGTATATTTGCAGCAATTTTCTCTGATGGGGTCTCATTTCTAAGATAGATGGGGACCTGGTTCAAATTTATAAGAGAGCCTTCCCCAAGATAAATAGTTGGAGGATATGAACAGGCAGTTTTTAAAGGAAGAGATTCAAGCTATCAGTTGCTTTATGGAAAGATTCTCTGAGTCACTAATAATTGGAGAAATGCAAGTTGAAGCAGCAAGTCAGCTAGGTGACACAGTGGATAGAGGGCTGGACTTGGAGTCAAGACTCATCTTCCTGAGTTCAAATCTGGCCTCAGACACTTATTAGCTGTGTGACCCCGGACAAGTCACTTCACCCTGTTTGCCTCAGTTGCCTCATTCATAAAATGAGCTGGAGAAAGAAATGGCAAATCACTCTAGTATCTTTGCCAAGAAAACCCAAAATTGGGTCACCAAGAGTTGGACATGACTGAACAACAACAAAAGTTGAAGCAGCAGTTCAACCTCACAGCAATCAGATCGGCAATGTTTACAGAAAAAGAGAACGACAAATGCTGGAAGAGATAAGGGAAAACAGGTATATTGTTGCACCGTTTGTGGAGCTGTGACCTGGTTCAGCCTTTCTGGAAAGTGATTTGGAACTATGCCCCAAAAGTTATTAAACTGTGTATACCCTTTGACCCAGCAATCTTACTACTAGATCTGTACTCCAACGATATTAGGGAAGGAGAAAAGGGACTCAAATGTGCAAGGATATTTATAGCAGTTCTTTTCATAGTAGCAAAGAATTGAAAACTGAGGGGGTGCTCATCAATTGGGGAATGACTGAAAATGTTATAACGTATGAGTGTGCTGGAACACCCATTGTTGCAGGAAGGAGGACTGCTTCAGGGAAGACTGGGACGATTTGCGTGAACGGATGCTAAGTGAAGTGGGCAGAACCAGGAGAACAATTTACATAATAACAACAATGTTATAAAGGCATACGACTTCGGAACACAGGAACTCTGATTAACACAATGACCCACTACAGTTCCAGAGGACATGTGATGGGGGTTGGGGGAAGTAAGCAGAAGTACTGGGCAAAGGGGAAATGCGGAGAGTCAGAAGCACAGACAGGAGGGGAAAATATGGGACAAGTATTTATTTGCTACACACAAAATAAATACAAAACACAATGGTGCATTCAACAGAAACAAACTTCTATATATGGTGATAGTGAAAATAATCGAACTTTTCTTTTATGATGGACCTTTTTACAATACCTCAAGGTTTTCATTATGGATAAGAACAGTGTTGCTGGATGGCATGGAGAATACCATACTTCAGGCAGCCCTCAAGCTCTCTGTCCACCCAGATCCCACTGGTCACTGGAGGGTACAGAGAGTACAAAGCCTCTGGGAGCCCTCCTCCCTTTCCCAATGGTTGTGGGCCCAGGCCATCTCTCCCCTCACCCCCAACCCCCCAGCCTCTCAGATGAAAGACAAACATAGCTACTCAAAATAATTTGATGATCAAGGAATCAACAATAATGCTAAGATGGAGAACCACTAGCTTCCCTGCAACTGAACCCTAAGGATTTTTGTGCCTTTCCTTCTGTCCTGCCATTGAATCCTAAGGACCAAGGCAATGAGATAGTGGAACTAGGAGGAGCACTTAATACACTATAGGAGACAATTTTTGTGGCTATAGGCCCAGAAACCAGAGGTTTCCCAATGAGGGAAAGCAGTTCTCATTTGAAAAGTACCAAACATCATATATATACCTATATCTAAATCTATATCTATCCATCTATCTATCTAGCTCAGATCTTTTCCTTTGTGTAAGTTACATCTACAATCATTATTGAGACTATGAATGCCAGAAGACTTTTTGTCAGGGTATGGAAGTAATCATATTATTTGTCTTCCATTAGAAAAAACAGCCTTATGTTATGCCAATCCTGGCAGCTAGTTGGCCCAATGGATAGAATGCTAGGATTGGAGTCAGGAAGAGGTATCTTCCTGGGTTCAAATAGGGGCTCAGAAGCTTACTAGTTATGTGACCCTGGACAAGTCACTTAACCCTATGTATCTCAGTTTCTCTTCTGTAAAATGAGCTGGAGAAGGAAATGGCAAACCACTCCTGTATCTTTGCGAAGAAAACCCCAAATGGGGTCACAGAAAGTTGAATACAACTGAACAACAACAATACCAGTACTGCCCTGTCAGAATAAAGTGCATAAGAGTTTTATAGGTTATTATTGTTTGTTTACTTGTTTTGTATAATTTAGAAATATTCAATGTGACAAGCTTTTAATCGTGTATTATGTACTGGGCATTGTGGTAAG